TTGCTCTTCAGCATGGCTTCCTAAAAATGCTGCACGATTTCTCAGACATGCATGAATGAGTCAAAGCAAGACTTTGGGCATGTTTTTATGAGAGTATAACATTATAACATGATATGAAACTCAAAAAAGTTCATTTTACATGATATTGCCCCTTTAAGAAAATAAAACCTGTTTTTATCACTAACAGACTAGACTATTGTAATGCACTTTGTGTTGGGATGAKTCAGGTCTCGCTTTTGCTTCTCCAGCYTGTCCAGAATGCTGCAGCTCAGCRTTTAACCAGAACTCGTACATTTGAACATAATTTTCACATATTTTATCCTCCATTCACTGGCTCCCTTTGCATGATTGAATATATTTTAAAATTCTCCTTCTCACCTATGAGAATGTTCTTGCACCCATTTATTTCTCTGAACTCTTCAACCTTATGTTCCTCCTCAGGCACTGAGATCGTGTGACCATTTGCTTTTGTCCCAAAATCCAGGTTGAAGCTCAAAGGAGATCKGAATTTTTCAGTCAGGGCTCCTAAGCTTTGGAAATATCTGCCCTCCAACATTTGATAGGCCTCATTACTTTCTGTTTTTAAATCTCAAACACAACTGATTTCACTAACCTTTAATCAAGTGTGTTATTTTAGTATTTTATTGTCCTGTGTTCTTTGTTCAGTGTATTTCTGATGCTTTTGAATTAATATGCTTTGCCATTTTTGTTGACATTTTTTGCCTTTTTATTRTTCAGCACTTTGGCAACAACCTGTGTTTTTAAATGTGATTTATAAATAAATTTGGCTTCACTTTACAAAAAAGATATTTTCCTGATCTCCCTCTTTATTGGCATATATCTTGTAATAGATTTGTCTCATCAGTCATCTGTCTGGCTTCATAACTTGGAACATGTTGAAAGATTTGCTTTCCTCATCAGTGAACTGAGAAGTTTGAGGCACTGTGCGTCACTGAATGATTGTGAAAATTGATTTGGCCTGTGGTGGGTATTACCCAGCGTGCTTCAGCCATCTTTAAATCAAAACCATTTGTCATTTCCCTGCTACAGCTGCTTAGGAAAATTATTTTTTTTTACTATTTTGGTGACATAAACATTAGTTGAGAACTTTGTATTAAAAAGCTTGACTTTGAAACATTTTATCTCAAAAATTAGTGAGTAAATAAGCTGCCAGTTTTGGTAAAATGCTGCAGCAAAAGGCTTTACTGTGAAAAGTGGTTCCAAATTATGTTCTGTACAAGATCTGATCTTTATTGATTGTTATGCTTCTTGAATCATTAAAACTTCAGTGGAGATAACAGAGATAACCTGGACCCAAATGCTGACAAGGAAGGCAGTTGGTGAATCTAGAAATTTTATTTAAGAAATGAATGTTGTGTCACARAAGGTGAGGATGTCCAGGAAATAAATGAACCATGGCATGAACAAAATACAACAAGTACAAAGCTCTGGAAATAAAAGAACAACAAAATAAAAGCTGGAACAATAAAACAGATAAATCAACTAACTTTACATTCTACTTAGTTCAACTTTCACCTTCCATGTTATAAAACTTGCAGCAGTTTGGACAAATGCTGATTAAATTATTTTTTACTATGTCACGGTTTAATTTTTATGGCTAATTTMTTTATTTGTCTCAATATCATAT